GCTGGCCCTTCCCGTGGTCCCCCTCCCGGCCTGGGAGGCCACACGTACCCCAGCGGGACAGGGTGCGGCCCAGCAGCTGGCCCGTGTCTGGGTTCCAGCAATAGTGCCGGAACTCCTCCATCCGCTGGCCGCACGACTTCTTCTCCTGCAGCGCCGCCATCCCCGTGCACGGCTTCCTCTGCACCCTTGTGCAGGGCCCGGCGGGGGCGGCGGGTGCTCTAGGCTTTATACCCCTCCTGGAGGTCACGGGCACCCAGCGCGGCCCGAAGGTGCCACAGCACACCTCGCCCGCACCTCCAGCCCTGTCCGGGGTGTCCTTGGCCGGGTGTTATCTGCCTGATAACACCCAGAAAGCCCCTTCCTGGAGCGCCAGCCCCTCCCTCGGGAGGGAGGCTGTGGGTGTGGGTTGGAGCGGAGGCCCCTCCAGGGCTGTGACCTTGGGCTGCTCTCAGCATGAGGGCAGCGGGCAGGACCGAGGACCGAGCGACGGGCGCTCTGCATGCACTGGCCCTCTGGTTGTCACCCCTGGGGGAGGGCACAGGAGCTGGCAGGGTGGGGCGGGGAGCCCTGGGACCGGGACAGCGTGTCGGGGCTCTGTTTCCCACCCTTGGGTCACCCAGTTCGACCAAGATGACACTGTCCTCTTAGCCATCACGGGGGGCCCTTCAGGACGTTTGGGTCTGTGCAGGATCCCGTGGCCTCAGATCGGAAGGTGCTACTCAGAGAGCCATGGCAGGGCTGGCACTTGGCTGGCACGGGCTCCGACCTGGAGTCCTGGTGGTCCAAGACGCCCCGCCCCACTCCGGGTGTGAGGGGTGATACGGTGCGCAGCAGGGCCGGGCGTGGGTACCCCGCTGGGAGCATGCAGGTTGGACGGCTGCTCCCTGCCCTGGGGGAACCCCTGACTAAGCCCCTCTTCTCTGCAGAGGCGGAAGACTCCCAGCCCCTCTCCACAGCCGGAGGCCAGCCTGGGGATGCCCTGCAGGAAGTGCCAGCTGACTGGGTGTCCCCTGGCCCTGTGGCGAAATTGGCGGGAGCCAGAGTGGCGCCCGCTGTCTCTGGGAGACACAGCGGGTTTGCATGTTAGGGTGTCTGGGCTTTCCCCCTCAGGATTGTGCGCCCAGGAAAAGAACGAGCCCCAGTTCTGTCCTGCCTGTCCCCTCAGGGCGGTTAGGGTTTGCACAATACACGTGACGGGCCAGGGTCAGGGCTACGCGCCGCTCTGGCATGCCATCGTGCCACGTCACCACGGCACGCCGTCCTGGCGGTGCCTTGGGGGCTACAGGGAGGGCAGAGCCGAAAGTGCTCGGGAAACTGGCGAAGGTTCAGGACACCAGTGAACCCCAGGCACACCGTGCCGAGACGCGCCCTGGTAACTTGTTCCAGCGCAGCTCGCCGGGCCGGATCGCGACCGCAGCACGTGGAGGCATGGCTGACATGATTGGTGTAGCTAAGTGGTGCGGTGTGAGACCGGAGAGGAGACAGATTGCAAAGGCAGGTGGAGGTAACCCGTGAGCAGGGAGGTTTCCTAGGACACCAGAGGCCAGATGGAAATCACACCGAAATTTGAAGGCGCTGAGAGGAAAGAACCGTCGACCCAGACCCCCTCGGTCAGAAAAGAGCCCTGTGGGGCAGGTGCGGTCATTCTCAGGAAGGGGACGTCAGAGTGTGTGTCACCAGCAGACTGGCCTTGAAGGGACCGCCAAGGGCGTCTGCTGCGAAGGGAGCCGTGCAGTGGGCGTGGGCGGGTGCTGTGGTATTCCCTTCCTGGGTTCCCCGCGGTCTGTTCGATGCCTGACACAACCTGCAGAGCCCACGATGGAGAGTCCTGGTCTCGTGGGGGCAGATAAGGGAGGGACGCGCTGATGGGCAGGAGGGCCATGAGTGTGGCCCGCTGTGTGTAATGGGATCCCTGGAGCAGCCAGGGCAGCCGTGGGAACAGACGCACTGGAAACACTACAGGTGGTCCAGAATCGGTTCTGACTCATATTGTCACATACAGGAGAACGGGGACAGCACACGGAGAAACAAAGACAAGGACCAGCTCTGCAGAAGGACGGGCGAGGCCCGACATACCAGACCTCACACGGTGCAGGTACTGTGAGGGGTGGGCCAGGAGACCCACTCGACCATCACCATCTGAGCAGGCTGGCTGGGGAGCAGGGAATGGCGGCACACACCGGTCCAATGGCTTGGAGTGGCACATGAACACCCCATGACAGACGCTGTAGAGTGGAGGCTACCGAGGCAGACGGGGCGCCATGAACACAAGAGGCCTGGTGCCCCAGAGGACGAAGCCACCCCTGACGTGGCCTGGAGCAACATACGGAGCACACGTGACTCACTGGCACACGGAAGGTGGGCAGGGGGTCCATGGTTACAATCGGGCACGTCGGCGCCCCAGCAGGTGGCAGGACACCGCTGGATGCAGT